CCCCATCCCAAGGCCTCGGCCTGCGCCTCTGAAGACAGAAGACAGCGAGAGGCAGGAAGGGCACTGGTGCTTTGGAAAACAACCTCTGTGACCACAGAACACTCTCTCTGGGCCCTCTCTGTGTATCTGTCTCCTCCCCCTCTCCCTCTCTTTTTCTCTCTCCCTCTCTCCATTCCTGTCCCTCCTCCTCCCCTCCTCCCCCCTTCCCTCTCTCCCCTCCCCTCTTCTTCCCTCTCCTTCCCCTCCTCCCTCCACTCCCCGCCCCCCACCACCATTCCATCTCTGCCTCTGTGCATCTGATTCACTCTCCCTGCTTTGCTCTGTGTTTTGGTCTTTCTCTCTGCCCTTTCCTCTCCCCCTCTGGGGCCTTCATTCTCCTTCCTCTCTGCAGAGACCCTTGGAGAAGCCCGATGGCCTGGATGTGTCCGACCAGAGCAAGGAGCACCCCCAGCACCTGTGCGAGAAGTGCAAAGTGCTGGGTTACTACTGCCGGCGAGTGCAATGACCGGCCCTGACTGCCATGCCCGCCACCCTCCTGCCAGCCAGAGACGACGCCACCTCCCCGGTGTTCCTTGGTGTTGCTGTGTGTCCCCACATGTGTGGGGGCATCCTGGAAGGCCTGTGCGTCTGGTCAGGGGGGTCTTAGGTTCTTGTCTCATGTGTGTTGAAACAGTGTTACTGACGCAGCTGCCCCACAGAAGCCAGGTCTCTGGGACTCTCTACAGGTGGGCCTCGGGTCTGTGTGGAGGAGACAGAGGCAAGCAGACGTCGATGCACAGGATCCCACAAAGCCCTTGGGATTCCCCACAGGCTCTCCTCTGAGACTCCCCTTGGAGTGAGCAGCCTTGTATTGGCCACAAGTGCACTAAATTTACTGTGAATCCCAAAGCCTGCAGGGGACCGTCTCTCCAAGACCAGCCAGGTCGCCTTCTCCTACCCAGAACCTTCCAGTTTGCCCCGTGTGCAAAGCCACTCTCAGAAAGTATATGTATCTTTTTTCTGTCCCATTTAAGTCAGCAGTCTTGGTGAGCTGACACCTGTTCTAGCAACTTCTGGGGAGTGGGCATCTCTGGCCCATGCCCAGTTTGAGCCCCAAACCTGACCGCCTCTGACATGGTTGGCATTGCACCTGGGTGCTGCACCATCCCCCGTAGACCCAGAGGCAGTAATGTTGGACAGTGCCCCAAGGTGTGACATGGGGCACATCAGGCATCCCCTGCCCCCACTCGCCACCACACACTTTTCCCACTTGGCTGTTGTCAGCCCCATCCCTTTCCCTTCTCCTTTGCTTCCCACCCACGCTGGGGGTCCATCCCCAATCGAAGAGGCAGGGCCCAGTGCGGAAGCCACGCTGGCAGGAAGGACACAGGCCTGGTGGTCTGGAGACCTAGGTTCAAATGCTAGCCCTGCTGCTGGTGCGCTGCGGAACTTGGGGAGGACGTCTCATCTCTGAGCCTCAGTTTCCCCACTAGTTACGTGAGAGAGCAACACTAGAGAGCAGAGAGGTCTGTTTCAGTTCTGATGTTCTGGAATTCAGCCTGGCTGAGTGCCATCTCCTGGAGCAGAGGGCTTTATGTGGAGAGTTTCACCAGGTCCCGTACTCCGCACCATTAGTTGGTCACTTAAGTCAGGCTGAAGGATGCCAGTTATCCCCTGTCACCCCCTACAGCCCCAAGCCTGTTGTCCCCCACCCCAGCAAAAATGAAGGAGAAGGGTCCCCTTCCGTCTCACATGGGGCAACCTGGAGACAAGCTGCAGATCCTCTCTTTTGTAAACCGGGGACAATTATTTCCTACCTCCCGAAGGAGCAGGGAGGCCTCTTGGCTTGTCACATTGGTCAGGGAGACACTGTCCTGGCAGGCGGAGGGGTCATGCTCCTCTCCCCTGTCCCCAGTGAGAAGCCTGATTTTCACTGTCATAACCATCTTTCATTTCTCCCAGGAACAGGGAGAAAACTGACTGTCAGAACTGCGTCACTTGATTTTGCCCTAACGTTATGCCTCTGTGGAAAAAAACATCAGACCACGAAATGGGCCTGAAATTCAGTGTTTACCACGGCGCAAGGACACCAACTGGTGCCCAGTTGCCTTTTGTTTTCAAATGAAAATGCTTTGTACAACTGAGGAATTACAGTAAAGTGTTAACCAGGGGTCCAGGGAGTGAGTCGAAGACACGGAGTGAGTGTATTTGCGGCCAGTGGGCTGCAGGTAGATTTCGGGGGGCCAGCCCCTCTGAGCACTTAGTAAGAGGGTATTTATTCCAGCCTGTGCCTGAAAGCTGCCTCCCTCCTGCCCACAGGGGTAATGCCTGGCAAATGACCATGGACACCCTCCCCACCCACTGGGTAATGCCACTGGGCAGTCCCTGCCCAGCTGTTGCCTGCCTTCTCCATGATGTCAGGGTGAGCTGGCGTTGCCCCAGCTCAAGGCACTCTGACCCCAAGGAGAAGCTGCTACTGTCAGTCATCCTAGTGCACTGCTGAAGATAATGTTCGCAGAGGTGGGCAGTATGCTTGTTTCTGCTGCCAGGACCGGGTCCCAATCCTTCCAGTGACCTGGCCCAACAGGGGATGTTGGCCTCAGGATGCCTGAGGCCTGCCAACTATGCTGCAATGGTGGGGGAAGCCCACACCCTAAAAAGAACTAAGACTCCAGACTGCTAGAGGCCAGGGCCCTCTATGGGCCAACAGAAGATGGGCTATCACCCTAAAGTGACCTTCTCAGTGGGCTTATCCAGCTGGCAGCAGTTGCCCCTGCCATCTGCGCAGAGCCGGCCACCAGGGGGGCTGAGCCCTCTGCCAGTGGCAGCCACTCTGCGCTCCCCACTCCTGCACTGTTTTGGCTAAATTTGGGAGCTCTCTGTGGTCAGCAGAAGCCACTGCTATGCAGGCCGGGTGCTATGAGAATTAAGTGCTCAGAGGAGCTGGGAGCCCAGGCGACAAGAAAGTATGTGGTTTTAGTACGTTCAAAAGGGACAATCGCTTGCAGTTTAGTAGATCTAGTGATCTAGCTGGGAGATAACAGTGTTTACCCCATATGAAGTATTCAATAGTTCTACTTGTGAATTTGTATTTATTTTGAGTTATACTTGACACAGAATTCCTTTTTTTTTTTTTTAAGAAAAATACTATTTGTGTATTTTGAAAAAAATTCATAGATGTTAAAATTTCTGCATGGTTACCAATTTTTCTCACAACACTGAATTTGTTACCTTCTCCCGAAAAATCTTCACAGTGATTTTTGTCTGTATATATTTGAGGGCCTTTTTTAAAAAAAAAGAAAAGAAAAAGAAAAGAAAAATATAATTGTATAATTTTTGAGACAAGAAAAAGAGGCATTTTCAAAACTTCAGAGCTTTCAGGAGGGCAATAGAATATCAAATGAAGATTTCTGGAAGTATTTTGCAAACCTTCTTGTTGAGCTATAAGAAAATATTTATGGTGAGAACTTTTCTTTTTTTTGTGGTTTGATTTTTTTACTATACTTCGTTCTGTAAAAAGTATGCAACTGAACTACATTAAGAAGGAAATATTGTCTACATAGAATATTATATGAAGTTGGTACATAATTCTGACGAGGAAAAAAAACTTTGCAATTCTTTAAGCCATATTGTTATTCTGTGTTGTTTTCCTTGGATGAAAATATCAGTATTAAGTAGCCAGCATATTATTCAAGTGCTTAGACTTATTAATATGTTTCTGTCCTGTATTTAAACATGTGTGTATTTTGGAAAGTACTGCCTTCTTTAAGGGAAGCTATTATTAGATATATAGCAAAAAAGGGAACGGTGACCCCTTTGAAACTCTTCAGCCGAGAATAACAAACACAGCATTGTAATCCATTCTTTTGCACCTTCTTATTATCTTGTTATTATGGTTATTAATTTTGTAGGGGGGCAGGGAGCGGGCCAGGGGAAGAAGGGGCATGTGACTAACTAGCCCCTCCACGGTCAGCCAGCTCCAAGGATGGCCTCCTTGGCCTGGTGAAGGGTCCCCCAGTTGGTAGGGCCCAAGAAGGGAAGAAGAAGCAAGAGGCGGACTTCTCTATGCCCCCTGGATCTTTGCCATCTGAGCCACTCCCCGGGGCCCCAGGCTCTTTGAACTTGGATTTGTCAACCAGAGCCCTCACCTGCCCTCCAACGTCTAATAGACTTGAATCTACACTAAAAGAATATTTAACCCAACATCACTACATCGTAGCCCAGTGGAACAACTAACCCTGAAGTGTGGGAGGTATCTGGCCTTCAGGGAGGTGGCCGAGCCATCTCCTGAGGGCTAGTGGCAGCAGACTCATTGCTCTCTGCTGCCAACCTCACCATTTGACCTCCTCTACTCCTGTGGGGTAACGCTGTCTGTGTCTGTATCTGTTAATATGTGTGTGTCCAGCTAAAAAGACAAACAGAACCCGTGGGCCCAGCTCAAGGGGTGCATGGAAAGCCTCCTGACCCCTCTGAAGGGCTTTCCTCGGGATGGCATTCCGTCGTGTGCCTTATTCCTGGAGAACCTGTATATGGCTTGCGAATAGAAATATAGCTTTTTCATGCTGTATTAAAAGGACTTTAAAAGCAAGAGAGGCTCGTGGATTTCCTTGTTGACACAGAGCATGAGTGGGGAGCTGGATGTTTTCATAGATGCATGGGGCCCAGTGGGGAGGGAAGAACTTGGAGTCACCCTTCTGCTCTCCTGTGTCTGAGTCATCTTGTCCTTGCCTTGCCTCCATGCCATTCATTTGCCTCCTTCCAGCCTCTCTGCCCCAAGTAGACACTCTCTCCAGGGCGAGGGCCCTCCCCAAGTTGGGCCTCAGACGGCGAGATTGTCAGCACATTAGGTCACACATTAGCCCAGCGATGGGACTCCCGGGTGACCATATATAGGAGTGAATCTTCCTTGGAGCTGGCAGCCTTGCCGCTGCTGCTCACACTTGGCCTTCTCACCAACGCCAGGGATCAGGCCTCAGACGCTGGGCATCACACAGTGAGCAAAGTGAAGCGGCCAGGATGAGGCTGGGCTGTCACAAGGTGGGCTCTTGCTGAGGGCCACAGACAAGAAGCCACAGCTCACAGGGTTGGGGAGCCACGGCAAAGCCACCTACATACCGAGTCCAAGGGCCCAGGGTCAGTGCTCTGGTCATTCTCAATCTCACTGCTCACCAGAATCACCTGAGATGCTTGAGATATCGGCCTGAGTGTGATAAAGCCCTCAGATCAGCAAAACTGCAAAATTGAGAAGCACCGAGCTTTGCAATGGTCCCTCATGGTGCAACGGTGACATCAGTGAGGAGGCCAGTAAGGGGGGTGCAGCGGGGCTCCAGTCCCACTGGAGATGCATCCCATCCTGGCTCCGGTCAATTGCTGCTAAGGATATACCACCTGGGGTGGGGTGAGGGGCAGGGCACTGGAAATACAGGTTGTTATGTCAAATTTTCCAATTTTTAAATGTTGGCAACTAGTTCACTAACTGTTTAAATAGCATACAGGTCAAACCATACATCTGTGGGCCAGCTCCAGACTGCAGCCTCCGAGATGTAGCAGAGAAAACAAGTGCGAGTCCCTGGAATCATGGTCCATGGATAGGGGAGGGGTACGGGACAAGCAGGAATAGAGACCCTTGACTCCTTGTCTTATTGGGGTGCACAGCAAATCCTGAAAGCCACCAAGCCCTTTCCCGGTGTATTGGTTATTGGTATAAGGGGAGCATTCACCTCCAGTGCCTGCCGCAGTACATGTGAAACGGCAGCAGGGCCAGAGTCAGCCTGAACACGGGTGAGTGTTGAAGATGGGTGTCTGCCAGCCAAGTAGATGAGTGGGGAGGGGGCCCATCCCCAAACAGAGTGGGAGGAGCAAGGAATAATCATCAGTGAGTGCAGACACTCTGCCAGCAACCCAGCAAGGAGGCTGTCCTCCCTGGGAAAGATCTGAGGACATGGAGCCTGTGTCTGTCTCAGAGCACCCCTGTCCCCAAGTCCTGCTTCCCCCTGGCTGTGTGAGGTTGAGCAGTTCCATGCCTCTCTGAGCCCCAGATTCCACAGGGACAGTGTGCAGATAAGATGGTCCAGTAAACATCACATGGCTTGGCACCCTGGGGACCCAGGGATGTGGACCTCTTGCTCCCACTGTTTGTAGCTCAGGCAGAAATGCTTTGCCAGAGATCACACAGGAAGTCAGAGGGGGAGCCTGCCTCCAACCCTAGGTTCATTTGCTCCCCAGCAGGCATTTACTGAGCACCCACTGTGTGCTGGGGCTGAGGCCCCAGGTTCATGCTCAGTTTTCTGCCCTTGTGTGTCACTGTGCATGTGCCCATGTATTTGTTTTGTTTTGTTTTGTTTTCCGTGGAAAGAAAACAAACCCAAGGCAAACACTGCCTGCGTTTCAACATCTCCCAGAGCCGTGGAAGCCAGGAATTCCCCTGGACAGGAAGGGTTTCCGGTTGGACTTAATGTCTGTGTCCAGAGGCTGCCAGCTTCTGAGGGCCAGGAGAGCAGAGTCTGCCGCAGAAAGGGGTGGCAGGGGACCCAGAGAGAATGGCCCAGCTCTGGGCCCATCCCTGCCTCCCTTCTAAACTGATACCCACCTCACCCCCATATTTCTGTCTGGGCTGAAGTTGAGGCCCCCAGTGAGGAAGAGTTCACCTGGGGTCACCCAGAAGGCAGGTGGCAGAGCCAGGATTTGAACCTCAAGTTTTCACTCCCAGTGCAGTGTTTCAGAGGAAGACTTGGGGCTGAGCCCCAGGCAGCAACCTGCACCCAGAGTTGCAAAGGTGAGGCAGTAAGTGAAGTCCCCAGGGTCTGAGATGATCTAAGGAACAAGTAGCTCCAACTCATGAAGGCCTTGGTAAGAAGCCCTCTCAGTGCCTGGTCTAGACATTGAAGGGAGATCAGGCCAGTGCCCTAGGCCTGGGGGGAGAGGGGGACAGTGCTCAAACATCCCTCCTCTCCCACCTCGGCACCAGAACCACTGCTTGCTCAGGGCCCCTCCTATGACCCAGGCAAGGCTCCCAGCACCACCCCCTTCTCGGAATGTGTAATGTGGAGGCTCCATGTCCTTATCTCCAAGCGGGGTGCAGGGAGGGGGCGGGGGGAGGGAGTCTGGCAACCAGGATGCACCTGCTGGCTGCAGTGAACATCAGGCAGTTCCCGAATATTCTCCACGGTAGCCACTTCCCTTCCCACCCACCCTGCTGTAGTTCCTCACACCCCGTGTCTATTGGGCTTCTGTACTGGGTCCAAGTCACAGGCCCGTCTCTCCTGTGTCCTCCTAACAGTCCTGACAGGAGCCAGGGCAGGGAACAGTATGTCGATATGGCACATGGAGAAATTGAGGCCTGGGCAGGCCCTGATGCTAAGACCGAAAAACGTGGCCTTTGCTGCACCCTCTGGCCTCAAACTCTGCTGTTTCTGATCCTGACAAGACTCCAAGTGGATTTCCAGGTACCTGCTCAGGCCTTCAGCAAACCACTTTGGTGTTTCCTCAGGGCCAGCCCAGCACTCTGTGTCTGGGCTGGGCCCCACAATGGGCTGGGGAGCCAGGCCTCTGCCTGTCCCTAAATGCCCTGACCCCAGTTTCCAGGGTCAGGCATCAAATACCACCCCCCCAGCTGCTTTCCTGGGCCCGGTGCTGCCTGGGCCCGGCTTCTCCGTGGTGTTTGAGACGGGGAGAAGAGATGGGAGGAGCAGAGACAAAGGGGGCTTCGGGCTGGGGGGGGCTTGTCACCTCTGGAGTCAGGCTTTCCCCAGAGCTCTGGCCAGAGCCAGGAGCAGCCTGTCCTCAGAGCAAAGGCCCCTCTGAACATTTCTCCCCATTTATCCAGAGATGTTAGGGGTCCTGTGCTTACCCTGCCCCTACCATGTACACTCACACACATACACAAAGGTACACATCTTCACCCACACACGCCCATACCCACAAACACCTTTTGGGAGTCCTATGGGGTGGGGAGCCCTGGGGTGCCCTCTCTGGCTAGAACAGTGCAGTGTCCACGAGCCCACACCCCCAGTGCAGCCCCTCTCCCTAACCCCTCTTAGCCGAGGGTCATTGTTAGAGAGGAGGAAGCTCTGGCCCAGAGGGTGATGGACTTTCTGTAAATCTGTCCCCATCCTTCCCCACAGACCATGATCTGGGGCCCTGGAACCCTCCAGTGGGTAAGAGAAGCCAGGCCCAACCCTTGGCTCAATGCAGTGAGCAAAGTCTGTCCTTGTGTCTCAGTGGGGAGAACCATGCTTTTTTTGCCAGGTGTGATGAGAGCACTGGGCTCGTGTGAAAATGTCCCCATCAATTAAGCACTAGCGTATCTGTGGAAGAATTGAGACCATGCCTGCACTTTGTTTCCAAATAATACAGAATATGGGTTGGGCGGCTGTCAAAACGAGACTGGCAAAATGATGACAATGTCTGAAGTGAGGAGATGGGACCTGGGGACCAGTCGTATCTTTACTTCTGTGTGTGCTCCTTTCCTGGGCAGGAGATGAGCTCAGAGGTGAGCTACGCCAAGGAGGTACACCAGGCAAAGTGTGGGATCCCCAGATATGCCCTCAAACACACTCAGAGCCCTCCACAATCCTCTAGGGCACTACACGGCCTTTACCTATGCATCTCCAGTGCCACTGTGGCTTGGCACACAGTAGGGTCAAATGTGGAATAAATGAATAAGTAAGAACCAATCGAACATCCATCAAGCCCTCTGAGTGCCAGCCATTGTGCTATGTGATTAACATGCATCATCTTTTTCGATCCTTGCAACTACCCTGTGAGGTGGGGGCTAAGATGAGTACTATTGTACGGATGGGGAGCTGAGATTCGAACAAGTAGAGTGACTTGCCCAAGGTCATTCAGCTAACAAAACAAGAGCCCCTCACTGGGCCCCCTCCCAGAGCCACTTCCTACTCTTCGCCCCCAGAGGAAGTCAGGTCCAGAACCTAATCCCTGCATCCTGCAGCTGTGCCACTCTCCGACTGCCAGGCAGCCAGGCTGGCCTGCCATCAGCCCCTCCACTCTGCCCTGGGCCCCTCAATGCTGCCCAGCCCGGCCTGCCAGCCTTCTGCAGTAGCTCAGAGCCATTAACCAATTAATGCAGTCCCCATGGTAGTTATTGCAGGCTCGTGTAGAAATCAGAACTCAAGCCAAGCTCCCCACACAGCCCCCAATCTTCCTTCCACCTCTGTCCTTAAAAACTTCCCAAAGGGGCCCTTTTCCCAGTCGCAGGGGGAACTCTGCTCCTGCTTCCATTTCTCCAGGTCAAGCCAGGCCACGCACTTATGCCTTCCATCCTGGACACTTGCTCATCCTCGCCCTGCCCGCCTGGCCCACAGCCTCCTGGAGCCCTGGACAAAGGCCAGTCACCCTCTCTCTTGGTCCAGGAAAGAAAGCAGGTATTTCTCCCTATCCCAAGCACTGCAAGCTGGGATCTGAGAAGCATTCTCTTCGACCACCTTCTCAACATCTCCCCTTTCCCACCTCTGGTCACTCCTTGATGTTGGGGCTGGCCCCCACAGCCCCTCTGCACCCAGCTTCTGCAGCCCAAGGGACAATTTGGGGTCCAAGTCCTGCCTCGTGTGTCCGGGACCGTGGTACCTG